GTATTTGGTCTGTCATTCATTACACCATAATGTTCAACTGATAAAGCATGACCTATTTTATGTCTACATGCCAATTGCCATAAATATTGACGGTGGGAATTATTCCTACCTCCATGTACTCTGGAAGCATGATCGGCACCTATTTTTCTTAATATATATGAGGTAATTCTATAGCGACTTAAGAATTGATTAAGAGGTGCAACATTAGTATTCCCATTCTTATCTTTTAACAAGAAGGGAAATTTATCTAGTATTGATCTCTGAATCCAGATAAGTAATTCTCTTGCTCATATTGAATTTTTTTCCATTGAAAGGAATAACCGGAGTTCTTCTACCTCACCTTTATTTTTTGCATAACCAATACAGTACCAAGAATAGTTAGAATTATACCATGACTCACGACTTGGTTTGTATCGGTTGATACGAAGATTTTTTACATCTGCCGATTGCATACATAGCATTATTATTACGTCTATTAGATTTTGCATTGAAGGAGACTTGGTAATATTATATTTGTTAAGTCTTTCTTGAACCTTTTCCAGGTAAAAGAACTCGGGACAATTGTAACTATTAATTCCACGAAGTATACACTTTCTTGCTTGAATCTGATTTGCTTCTTCAGTAATAAAAGATATTTTCGTTGCCTCAGTAATGAGATAATTAGCTTCTAAGCTACGCAACTCTTTCCATAATAAATTAAGACGAGAATTTCCTGCAATAGTAGTAGGAGCAGAAGAAGCCAAGTCATATGCTATTCCATTTATTTCTTCAGGTGAGAGATTATTTTTTACAATATCTTGGGCAATAATTTTAATGGGATCTCTTTCATTAACATGTTTCCCAGAAGCTTGAATAGGAATAAGAGTATTAGCTTGCTCCTTACTTAATCCCAATTCTTGGAAGCATCTTTTGGCCTGATCTCTGGCTTTTTGGGCCTGCTCTTTTGTCTTGCCATTTGAAAGTTTACTAGCCAACTCTTTGACATAACTACTAAGCTGTGGTAAACTAGTTTAAGGAGTCAATTTGTAGCGATTTACAAATGATGTAGCAATTTTTGCCATAGTTTGTATATATTGGTTGAGATGTTTTATATAGACTACTTTCGTCTGATATATACTATGGAGATTCTTTTTTCAAATAGAAATTAATTACGCTTTTTCCTCCTATACCTAGAAAAAAAGAGTTTATGTACTTGCATAAGCAAGAGTAGTATGTTGATTTGAAATTTACTAATATATAGGATATAACGAAAAAAATTTATAGCTTTGGGGGTAGGATCCCAGGCTATATTAATTGTATATTGTGTTTTAT